AATTACACAAAGGAAATTTGATAGGAGGAAAAGTATTTTTAATTATAACCTAAAAATTACTTTGCACACGGACTATTCAAAACAAATACTCAGTATATTCATGGACAAATCTTTATTTTATTTTATTGAAAATAACTTGCTAAAAAATATGATTTTGTATATGTGAACGACTTGTAATGTTAACTGAAAGACTGCTAAACTTTGTGAAGATATACACACTATTGAAAGCTATAAGTATTAAATCTACAAAGACTTTAAATGAGTCCATATTGAGAGAGTTAAGTCAATGTCGAGACAACAGGGCACTTTTTGTAGTAAAGAGAATCAAGGAGTGGGGATTTATAATGCAGTGGACAGAGCTCTAATGTAAGGATGAGATTCCATGATAAAAGTTAATTGCTTTGTAGGAATATATTTTTATTCAAAGCTATTTAGATGTGGAGTATCGTAATATGCTTTATGACATGATCAAATACTAACAGAGTATTTCTAGTAGTGATTTAATCAGTATAATAAAATTGTTGGCTTTTTGTTGGCAATTTCATTCATGTTTTAAATAAATGAAACATTTATGGAATCTAACCATAATAAAAGAAAGACAAATGAAAGCTTATTTTGTAACCTATAGTTGCAGCATAATACACTACACTTACAGGAAAACATGTAAAAACATTCATTTACATTACACTTATAGGAAAACATGTAAAAACATTCATTTACATTACACTTACAGGAAAACATGTAAAAACATTCATTTACATTACACTTACAGGAAAACATGTAAAACATTCATTTACATTACACTTATAGGAAAACATGTAAAAACATTCATTTACATTACACTTACAGGAAAACATGTAAAAACATTCATTTACATTTACAGGATTAGAATGTAAATGAATGTTTTTACATGTTTTCCTGTAAGTGTTTTTTCAAAAATATAGCTGAAAGTTATGATATTGTAGTCATGATATTGTCATAATTATCCATACAAATGCTTAGAAATATAACAAATTTGTGATGTGTGACAATAATTTAGTCTTTATTATAAGCATTTTCTGAACCTACGTAGTAAAATGTCTATCATCATACACCAAAAATTGGATTTCTTGATGGGAATTTTACAGAGGGTTATATAAGTTCAGATTTATTATTAGAAAAATATAAATTCTTTCTATGTATTTAACTTTGTATTTTGATTTGTGAAACCACAATTTTCTCTCTATTTTTAGAAAAAGGAACCTTTAAAAAAATTTTTTTGCAGTGGCCTGCTGAGAGGCCTGTTACAAAATGAGAGCTTGTGCAGATATAGCATGCACATGTTGATGGTGCATCTGTTTCCACTTATTTTATTTTATTATTGGAGGAGAATGACAAGCATTGTTTACTGTCAATTATGTTATTTATTAGTTAGTGTTGTGTGGGTTGAATTATAACATGGTTTTTAATACTCTGTATGGAAGAAATTAATAATGAAAAGGAATGAGCCAAAAATTTTTTGTTTTTTTACCCAATTTTAATTCACCACTTTTCATTCAAGAATATCTTGTACATGCTGAAGAGCATGCTAGTATGTTATCTTAATTTTGCTGTTAATCAAGGAACTAATATAAGAAAATAGAATAGCATAAGCAATGTAAACACTTATAAATCTTTTGATAACAAATGCACTTTAAAATCTAATGTATAAGACAGAACTAAAACAAATGGCTGGTACAAGGCATGTTTTAAGTTTTTAAATTTAATAATAAAGAATACATTGAGAAACATTTGCTGCACAACAGATAGGTTTAATTCTTTAAACCTAAATGGATGCTGACAGTAACTGGCTGAAAATGTCAATTTACCCATCAGACAGTGACAGCATCCAATAACATTTATGCCTGTTTGGCTGAAAACTAATCCAAACCATGTTCTTATCAAGAAAAATTGAAATTTTGTATGGTATGGTGATAATTATTAGGAAATCATGAAAATATTCTAGCTGAATGTGCAAAAAATTACAGGTTTAAAGAGTTATGACATTTTTATAGTGGTGCTTACAAAGATATTGTTTCTGAAAATTTACCGAAGAAATAATGATTCAATATCAGACCATGCGAGATGAAAAGAAATACAATATAATATTAATGATTCAATATCAGACCATGCGATATGAAAAGAAATACAATATAATATTAATGATTCAATATCATACCATGCAATATGAAAAGAAATACAATATAATATTAATGATTCAATATCAGACCATGCGATATGAAAAGAAATACAATATAATATTAATGATTCAATATCAGACCATGTGATATGAAAAGAAATACAATATAATATTAATGATTCAATATCATACCATGCGATATGAAAAGAAATACAATATAATATTAATTATTCAAATAATAAGTGAAATATTGAAAAGTATAAATTACATGTCAAAATTATAAATCTTAAAGATCCAGGTTGAACAAACAATTATTTCAAATACATTTTTTTTTGCATAAGTAGTTCTTGAATTATCACTAAATTTCCCTCATTGTTATTAAAACTTATGTGAACAAATTGAATTTTCAAGTTTCAACACAAACATAATTTTTAATTATGATAGTTTTAGATTGTAACATATACTTTTCCTTTTACAGCTTCACTCCTTAACATGGGATGCTCAACACAAGTCTAACAGTGAACAATGTTATTGCTACTGTGGAGGCCCAGGAGAGTGAGTCTTCCAAATTAATAGTCTATTTTTGATAATACACTACATTAGTTTTAATAATGATTTATTATTTTTCCTCACTTACATCATTTAAAGTAATTCAAATACTATTTATACGTGTTATTATTACAATTGGAAAACTGGTATATTTCTTTTTTTGCCACTAGAAAATAGTATTTGTTTATTGGAGTAAATTTTCCAATATATTTCAAGTAGATATGTTGCCTAACTTAATGTTTTCATAAGCAAGACATGAAAGGTTTCATACCTTCACACCATGCAGAAGGTTCATTTCACACCATTCAGAAGGTTCATTTCACAGTAACTTTCACTCCACCACTTTTATTTCATGAAAAGTATATGGTTTCCCACCAAGTGATGCCTCCTCTTTTCCAATGGGTGACATCCCCCGTAGGTTTTTTTCTTTCTGACAATGTGATTTAAGAAAAAAGATGAACTCATCTTTTTAATTTCCTTATTTATTCTGGATGTTGTTAGTGTGGGATTCTTTATTGTATGGGGAGGTGAGTAAATGTTTCTGAAGTTAATACCAGAAAATGTATTTCAGATAGTTATGCACAATCTCCCAACCATTCTCCCCAATTTCAGTGTATTTCTTTTGCCTCATAAAGAATCAGCCTTTGTTCAAATGGTATTGTTTAATGGGGATTACTGTTCATGGATGATGTGTTACCTTTCTATTGTTGAAGAGCTATAGTCTAATGATGATTATATCATAGGCTAGTTTAGTCCATGTTAATACACGTAGGTGTGGTAGCCTCGTTTAAGGTTTGTGGCATGCAAAGATATCTTCTCAGCAATAGCACAAGGTAATACCTGTTGTGCAGAAAGGTGAGTAGTTATCCGAAATGCCTTTTCAGGTAAGGATGATGTTAACTTTGCATTAAAAACAATTTAAAATATAAACACTTTCAAACTTACATTTTCTCACATTTTAGTATTCCAAGAATATGTGATTGAAGTGTCTTTCCTCTTTGAAGTGAGAAACCGAGAAGGATAACCAAGATCTGGGATACCACAATACTTGTTATGATGATTTGAAATGAATAACTAAAAATAATGTTTAACTCTGTTGCTATAAAAAAGTTTAATTTTTTTAAGACTCCCAGTAAATACTTTTCAAACACTTATTAATCATTTTTGAAAGAATTTTAGTTCTGTTTTTATTTGTCGTGTGTGTGGTTTCCTTGTCAGCATAATTTGTAGCATATAACATTCACCTCATAATAATTGTCAGTCATATTAACCCAAGGGTAGTGTGATTCTCCTTACATAAAATGTATGCTTATATGTGAAATCCACCTTTATATTTAATTTTTGAATATCTACTGTCACTGAAATTTTAGTAAGGTCAGTTGCTTGTTTATTGACAGTAGACTAATCCATCGTAGGCTTGATATACAACTGTTATGACTTAATTACTGACTTGTAAATTAAAATGTCCAATTATTTGCAACACTTTTAATGTACGTGATTATTTTTCACTGGGATAAGAATAACTTTTAATAGAGACACAACATGAAACAGCTGTGAAATTACATGGACTGACTATTCGGAACTCCATGGTCTTTTTCCTCGGTACAATGAGAAAAGGCAAGGTGTGTTCCACACATTGGACAACCTTGTGATTGTTTTGATTTTATAATATATGTAGACTGGATAACCTGCACTAAGATTCTACATTTTTATATATTATGAATTAAATCTTATTATTTTCACTACATCAGGCATACCAGTATCATTTAGACATTATGCCTGCATCAGATATATTGCAATAAATCATATTATTTTTGGTTTTGTAATACTGTTGAAGAAGTCATTGCTAGGAATACAAGTAGGCATATATTTGCAATGTTTAATAATCTAGTCCTTATAGTGAAAAAATATATAGTATGACTAGTAGAATTTCAGTTTGAGGTAGTACATTTCTCATGCCTAGGAGTACATGAAAAAAAATAAACACCTGGTATAATAATTTCTCACTCCCTTACAGCTGTAGTAGTTCTAGTGAACATGTAATATATATATATGTATGTAGATCAATGTCAACATTTAATATATCAACAATAGATATATATATACACACACATACATGTGGGCCAGTGTCAACATTTAATATATCAACAATAGGTATATATATACATATGTGGACCAGTGTCAACATTTAATATATCAACAATAGATATATACACATACATGTGGAGCAGTGTCAACATTTAATATATCAACAATATATATATATATATACATGTGGACCAGTGTCAACATTTAATATATCAACAATATATATATATATATACATGTGGACCAGTGTCAACATTTAATATATCAACAATAGATATATATATATATTTTATATATATATTTAATAAAAATTATTAAAACTTATTTATTTATAGGTGGTATTTAAAGATGCTGCAATGTTGTCGGTGTAAGCAGTGGTTTCACGAAGGTAGGATGTATTATTGTTTCTTAAATGTTCTTGGTTGGTCAGGTTTCTTAAAAAACAGATACAGTAGAAAAATAAAGTCATTCTTAATAGTGAGAAACTTGTCTACATTACTAATCATAACTTTTTATCATTATTTTTAACTTGTGTATGAGTAAAGATTTTCTACCCTTCATTCCTAATCTCTTAAAACTGTATTTAAAATTTTCAGAATATTACAGCTTAATGGAAAAACCTTATAGTAGTATATAAATTATAACAGTGATATTGATGTTTTTAAAGAATTCCTACTTGGTGACACATTGTGTCACATTTTGATTAATTTAATTGTGTGCCATGCTTCGTGTGTAAAAAGTAAGTAGTAAAGATCAACCTGATATATTTATTTTGAATACTTTATACACTTCTACAAAAGATGATCTGTAGATAATGCCAAACTAAAAGATTTTTAGTTTAGCCACTGTCATATATATTATTTATTTAAGGAGTGTTAGCTTTCTGTAAGTGTTAATGTATTTTTGTTTTTTAACTGAATTGTTTAAGAAATTTGTTCAATTTTAATTAATATGTTTGATAAATTGTAGTTCATTACATAGCAAAAATTCTAAAATACATATTTTTAAGTTGTATGTTGGATTAATCTGATTTTACTTTAACTACTCTATAGAAATTAGCATTTGTTTGTTGATGACATTAGCTGGTATCGTATATGCTATAGCATCCAGCATTTGTTTGTTGATGACATTAGCTGGTATCGTAAGTGCTATAGCATCCAGCATTTGTTTGTTGATGACATTAGCTGGTATCGTAAGTGCTATAGCATCCAGCATTTGTTTGTTGATGACATTAGCTGGTATCGTAAGTGCTATTTGGGTTAAACACTAGGTGGTCAACAAATGCGACAGTGTAAGAAAATAAAGATGTTTGGTGCCAAAAACGATGTTGTCAGTTTGATCATAGAAACCAACTGAAATGAAAATTTGTTCAATAAAATTATGCAATAAAAAACACTAGGCATTTCAATAAAAAGGATCAAACTGAAATGTAGTTCTAATTGATATATATGTTTGTTAGAATGAAATCTGTATCTTTCAGCTCTCTTATTTTTGAGTTTTAGCAGTAAACTTCAAAACATCTTTGAGAGAGTAGTAACTCATTATTTAAATCATGAAAAATTGAACTAAAAATACAAGTAATAGAATATGTGCACACTGTTGAATATCATAGTTACTGCTAATCACATATGAAAAGGTGTGGCAGTCCTGTTAAGATACCAAATCAGCACGCTGATTAAATTCCACTTAAATTAAGGCTAATTAGAAATGGAAATTGTAAAGCTAAGAAGTTTCACTAACAGGTAATTTTGTTTTCATTTATTTAATGATATTATTTAATTAATATTATTAAACTTCTGTAATAAAACTCCTATTCTCCACAAGTACTAACATTAAAATCTAGCTGCTATATTTCAACTCTTTGTTTTATCCTTGGTAATTTGGTAATCTGTATTTTGCTGGTTCTTTATGGAAATATGCAAACAAAATATTGTACCAATATCTTGCAGAGATATGCATATACTTAAATATTTTCAGAGAAAACTGGTGAAGGATTTTAAATACAGATTACTTCTGTAAACAGAAGAAAAAAAGTAGTTGTAATCACTGATTCAGCAGAAAAATCCAAAGAGTAAATTATTCTAGAACTATTATGATATGCAATAATACCTTGTTTGTCAAAAACAATGCAACTAGAAGTGTACCCAACCAAAAAAAGAAAATTGTTGAATCATCTGGGATGTAAAAGTTTAGTGCATTCTTTTCAGTTATGCTAATTGGTAGTACAAATGCTTCAGTCATAATTTACAACTATATGTTTGGTTTCTTTTTTGTGTGTCAATATTACATTAATGGTTTGACTACTTTATTTCAAGATATCATGAGAGACGTTATTGTTTAAATAGCAAGATAAAATTAGAATTAGAGGAAATAATTTTTTTTCTATAATTTCATTCCTTAATACAGAATATTTTGTTTGGCAAAAATTAAAAGTTGAGGTTTAAATGCTGAAAGCTGGCAAAGCTTAAGAAACAAATAAGCCTAATTTTTGTGCCAAAAATTGAGCTGAATGTAGATGTTTTTTCTTACGTTTAATTACATAACTGTCATGGTTATATAAAGCAATCATCTGAAGGTTTGCTGTATGTAGTTCTATTTTGATTGTTAGATATAAATTAGTTGTTTAGATAGAAAGATAATGCGACTGGTTTTCTGCAACAATAATCATTGGGTAATTTGCTCCCTCAGATCACTGATTGCTATTTGTTTCTTTTTTTCTTTTCTGCTAGCTTGTCTTCAATGTTTGGATGTTCCCCTTTTGTATGGAGACAGATTCTACATCTTTGTCTGTTCAGTGTGTAATATTGGTCCAGAGTTTTTAACCAGGCTAGCTCTGAAATGGTAAAGACCATTTGATTTTCAACATAATAATGTTTTTGTTTATTAAACTGCTATTTGTTCAAGAAATTGGCAATTTTGAAATGTAATTTTCATAATTGTTTATGAATAACATCTACTTATGTATTAAAGTTAGCTGGAAAAAAAAGTGAAACTACTGTAAAATTATCAAAATGATAATAATGCCCTTTGCTGCATCAGAAGCAGTAAAGTTTTATCATATCATATGGTTGAAAATGACATTAGATATTTTTAATAATCAGTAAACTTTAATAAAAATTACTTTGAAGCAATTTATTTTCATTTTCTCTCTGAGCTAGGCATAGCTTAGTGGTTAGCATAGCCTAGTGGTTAGTAGAGCCTAGTGGTTAGCATAGCCTAGTGGTTAGCATAGCCTAGTGGTTAGTAGAGCCCAGTGGTTAGCAGAGCCCAGTGGTTAGCAGAGCCCAGTGGTTAGTAGAGCCCAGTGGTTAGTAGAGCCCAGTGGTTAGTAGAGCCCAGTGGTTAGCATAGCCTAGTGGTTAGTAGAGCCTAGTGGTTAGCATAGCCCAGTGGTTAGCATAGCCCAGTGGTTAGTAGAGCCTAGTGGTAGCATAGCCTAGTGGTAGCATAGCCTAGTGGTTAGCATAGCCTAGTGGTTAGTAGAGCCTAGTAGTTAGCATAGCCTAGTGGTTAGTAGAGCCTAGTGATTAGTATGCCTATACTGTGAATCCAAGGATAAATAATTCGTGGCTTTGCCACAAAAATGTACTCCGCATTTTGGGGCTATGTGTGTACATTTAAGAGCGCTGATCAAATCCCATCATTTGATCAGACAAGAGTAGTTCTAGAGTTGACAGTGGATGTTGCTGATTTGCTGCCTTCTTGCTAGTCTATTATTCAAAATTTTGGAAAGCTATGCACAAATAGCTATTTTGTACATTTGTACAAAACTGAAACAAACATTCCAAAACATACTTACCTCTGCTGACACTATAGCTATTTCTCGATCTCCAGGTTTTCCACTCTTTACCTATCTAAACATTGTTATCTGGTGTTTGTCAATGGCCATTGGAGGGATCACTCTCAGTCGAGGCTGTCTGTGATATGATCCACTGTGAGATGGAAACATATGCAGACTGAGGGTGTTTTTTTTGGGTGGGGATACTGAGGCAGCTATTGCAAATGACCTGGACCAGCTGGGGAGAACTTAGACTAACTTTTTCTGGCTCCTTCTTTTACTAGGTTGGCCTCAAAAAAGGATCATTTTGATCAGCCACCAACAGCCCATTTTCTTCAGTAGATTACTCAGGTTTGTGAAGTTTTGGGAGTATCTCCTATTGCATTTGACTCTACTCCTTTGTTGGCAGAAAGGATGGCAAGTGAGTACTTAGTTTTCCTCCTTCTCCTGCTATTAATGCATGCTTGGAGGTTTGCCACTCAGTTACGTGATGGGATAGCTATGCCTTGTTCCCCACATTTATCGGAACATCATACTTTGGTTTATCACCACCAGGAAGAGATATATTTAGATTCTCAATTAATGAGCCCCCTTTTAAACCTGTAAGGATCTTGATTGGAACCTGTGATCACTTTAAACAGATCACAGTTTTTTCGGATTCATCGTACTCTCATTACTGTCCTGAGGTATTTATCTTTAGTCCAACTTTTGTAAGAAGCTTAGATTCTCAATTAATGAGCCCCCTTTTAAACCTGTAAGGATCTTGATTGGAACATGTGATCACTTTAAACAGATCACAGTTTTCTCGGATTCATCGTACTCTCATTACTGTCCTGAGGTATTTATCTTTGGTCCAACTTTTGTAAGAAGCCTATCAGTGTTCCCCTCAGCAATTTGAGGATGAGTTGGGGATTTTGCTGATATCTACCTTAGTCAGATTGTCTTCTTCAGTTCTTTCTCTGGTTTTTTGGCTGGTTTGTTGTTGGGATTTATTGAGTAGAGACTCTTTGTTAGAGTGTTCATTTACCGTTTTCTGCCCACAAGGAGTTATGGGAAGCTCTTTTTCTCCTTCCCATGTTGTTTGCTGAAGTTCCAGAGACATTAAAATGAAGAATTTATTTAGCTCATTTATATTCTTCTTTATCATTGCTGGCTTCTCGCCTTTCTGGTACTAATTTGGGAGTGTTGGCTCATAGTGTTTCCAGACCCCCTCCTTCAGTTCTCAGGTCTATTAGATGACAAGTCTACCCTCCATATCAGCGTTCTCAAACTCCTTGCAATACACCAGGCAATGGTTCAAGGTCTGTCTCTCTTGAATGGAAAAATTATCATGATACTTTCCAACAATTCCACGGTGTTATCTCAGATTTCTCCTCAAGGAGGCACACATTCTCAAGACCTTTATTTTCATACCTTGGATCTTCTCTACTGAGCATCATATCAGTCTTTTAGCATGTCATATTTCAGGAGTGGTGAATTTAATTGCAGATCACTTGTCTCGACCCAAACAGATTCTTCTGATGGAATGGATGATATATCTTGAGGTTTTTCAGTGGATTTGCTCTCAATTCAGGTCTCCAACGATCAATGCCTTGGTGACTCATTGGAATTCTCAACTGCAGTTGTTTTGGTCTCCAATAACTCATTCTCAAGCATTGGCAGTGGATGCGTTCAGTCAGGGCTGGACAGTTTTACATCTCTATGCCTTTCCCCCAATTTGGCTATTGCCCCAGGTTCTGACTATGGTTCGTTCCACTCCCTGTGTAGTTCTCTTGGTTGCACTATATTGGCCAGCTCAAATGTGGTTTCCGCTTCTTCGGTAACTGCAGGAATGTCCACATCTACCTCTTCCACATTGGCAGTCTCTGTTGAGACAACCTCAATCAGACATTCTCTACCCAGATGTTCAGAAACTCAATTTTTATGCTTGGAAATTATGCGATCCTTTACTCAATATAAGGGTTTAACTTCTAAGGCTTCTCTGTATTTAACTAAATCTAGTCATAGGCGAACCTCGGCTGTTTATCAACAGAAATGGAATACTTATTGTCAGTGATGTATTAAAAGGAATTTAAACCCTCATCATCCTAAAGTATCTACCATAGCCCATTTTCTGACGTGGGCATTTGAGAGGGGTTTTGCTTCATCTACAGTGGCTTTATATAAGGCATCCTTATCCACTATTTTTTGGTATTCCAAATATAGGAAGGTTTTGGAATCCTCAGTACTATAAGCTCTACTCAAACCCATTTTCTTTGACCCAAATGACCTTTTCAATTACTGAATTGGGATTTTACAAATGTTTTACATGCATTGTCTCATCCTTCCTTTGAGCTCGTAGCTTTGTGTCCTTTGTTTCACCTTTCTATTAAATTGTATTTTTTTGTTGTTGGTTTGTGTACATCTTTGGGAGTTTTTTGCCATCCATGTACTTCAGACTCTCTATCATTCCACATTTGTCCTGCTTTACCCTGATAGGTCTTTTCTTACTAATCCATTTGCCAGCCATTTCTCACCTTTAAGACTGCTCCAATCCTGACCATTTGTTATGTCCTGTTAGGGCCCTCAAGTGTTATGTAGCTCGTACTAAATCATTTTGAGTTAGAAGGAATCGATTGTTCTTTCATTGGAATCTTTTTATTTCCTTTGACTTATCTCCCATTACCCTAACAAGGTGGCTTCATAAATTGATTCACAATGGATTATCATTACAGAAGAGGAATCTTTTGCATCATGTCTCTGCCAATAGCTGCCTGGTTGAATTGCCCTCTGGAAGACATTGTGCAGTCTGGTAGGTGAACTACTCTTAATACTTTCCTATTTCATTACTTGCATGATCTGGCAGTTTCTTCTTCTGAGGGTATTTTGACTAACCTGTGTAGCTATTTTGACCACATCTGTTAGATTTTGACCAGAGGTGAGTATTTTTCTGAATCATACACTCTTTTTTTTTCCAGGGTCCTTTTATTTTTCACTGGGTCCCACTCTGGCAGGTGTTGCCGAGGCAGGTATGCCTTCTCTTTTCAATTCTAGACTAGCAACCACTTTCACTGTAATTACTATAAGTTGCAACAAACTCTGTCAAAATGGGGTGTGCCATAAGACCATCTAGGTGTCTACCGGATGGTATTACCTTAGTATTATGGACTGCCACTCATTCACTATCATGGGTAAAGCTAAAGGGTATCCTGCTCATTCTTGCTGATCTTCAGGTTGAATAAATTGGGACTGGTTTGGGACACCTATTGCACAGTTTCCAGAGCACTGTTCCTCAGGGCTCCCACTGCGTATTCCCCCCTCCCCCCCATACTCTACTGGGGGAGCTCGGGAGTCCCTACCAACCCCAGTTTCCAGACACTGGGGTGGCGGACAGAGACTTTTCCTCCAGTGTTTGAGTGATATCAGTAGGAGTAGCACCAACCTCCACGAAAGCCTACTCGTAATTCTGGTTCAGATTTGAGATAAAGCTATGTAGTTGGGGGGTGCATAGCCCTTCCCTTTGATCAATGTCGGTTTTGTGTACATTCATGGAAGGAGGTCCACTATCTCCTCGTAATTCCAAATGCGAAGTGGTTCCACGTCCTTTCCATAATTCCAGGTGCAAGGGAAATACTCCTTGCCCTCTTGGTTGGGGAGTGACGATGAATGTTCATAATTCCAGACCAGATGAGTTCTGTTCCTTTGGTTGAGTATGTCATTCCGAGCCTGGGGTATTGCCATTTGGACTTCATCAGGTGGAGGAGAAAGTTTATCCATTTTGGTGTTGTTTACTTACTCGTCGTGATTCAGGTAGTGTGAAATACATCACTCTGGTTACAGGTTGGGATTGAATCAAAAGTATATGTACATAACATTGTGGTCCAATAGCCCTAGCCACCAACATGGGACATAGGTACTACAACCCTTTAATTCTAGCTCCTAGTTGTGGAACCTCTGCTATCTGGTTGGGGCTGGCCTATACCTTCTCAATGTGAGATTCTAGCTATAGTGTCAGAGGAGGTAAGTATGTTTTGGAAGTTAACATTTTCCTAAACTGAAAATGTATTTTAAATAATACTTACCTCCGGAAATACATTTTCAGTTTAGGAAAATGTTAGCTTTTCTCTGTCCTTTTGGATTTAGTATAGAAAAAGAAATTTTAAAATGTTTATACTAGCAAATATTAAAGTTTTCTTGCTGTAATTTGGTTGCTAATTTTATTTGATATACATTTTCAATGTATTAAAAAGTTTTTATTTTTTAAACAGCTAATGATACTCTTATTTATTAACTTATTTTAATCATACTTGTAATATTAAAGTCAAACTTTTTTCTTTTGTTTTCCTTTCATGTGTAGGACGGATGTCGCACACCTCATTATGTTTAATCTAACTATTCAAAATAACAAGAAATACTTTGACATTGACACTTCTATAGTCCCATTCCTGAATTCTAATTGGTCATTATTTCAGCTTCAGGGAGAGGTAAGTAATTTAGTTTTGAATCATGTTATTTTAATTTATGGGCTTTGTACTACATTAAATGTAATATTTATTATCTCAGTATGAATCATGTTGTTTTAATTTATGGGCTTTGTACTACATTAAATATAATATTTAATATTTCAGTATGAATCATGTTATTTTAATTTATGGGCTTTGTACTACATTAACTGTAATATTTAATATCTCAGTATGAATCATGTTGTTTTAAT